GCCTCTCAGACCTACAGCTTCACTTCCTGGGAGCCACGCCAGCGAAGCTGTCCGTGTGCCTGAGAAAGCTTGTGCTGGAGTGTGCATTCAAGAGATTTTCAACAGAGAAAAACTAGGAACAACCATTAATTTTTATTTTTTTAAGCAAGTGACTCCATATGGCGTAGTCACATATGGAATGCTATGGGGCAATGAGAGAGAACGGATCGGTCTGTGGGTGAGGGTAAGGAAAGATCTGAGACAAACTATTCAGTGTAAGAAGAGGCTGAAGAATAGCATGACAGGAAAAAACCCACCCGAAAGGAAAACTATAAATTTCTATGGGTACATGTACCTGTAAGTAATAGACAGGAAAGATCTAGAAAGATCCACAAAGTGATAACAAAGGCTAAGTCTTGGGAAGTAGGTCTGGAGGGGGTTGTCAAGGAGACTCGTAGCTTTACATTTCTTACAAGAATATTTCATGTATTTCTTGCTTAATTCAAACTACTCTTATTCTGGCTCAGAGGGTCATGGTTTGTGGGAGTGGAAGGAGGCCAGCCCTGTCTCCTGTCCCAAGAGGAGGGAGAGAAGTGTTGGTCACTGCCTAGGGGAGGATGCTGCCAGGAAGTGACCAGAGGGGAGGAATGAGAAGTGTACCACCACTAGGGGGCAGAGCTGAGGCCAAAAGGAAGGAGAGTCCGGGAAGAGAAGGCGGCGGAGGAAGCTCACCATCGGGTCAGGGAGTCCTGGATGGCGTTGGTGAGCGCGTGGCCCAGGTGCAGGGAGCCTGTCACGTTTGGGGGGGGGATGCACATCATGAAGACGCCCCGTGGATTAGGTGCTGACACGCTGGAACGCTGTGGGGAGGAAGGATGGGCACATGCTAAGACTCCAGGTCACCTCTCCCGCCCCACCCACCCAGGCCTGGGGGCAGGGCCACTCACTCCATACTCTGGCTTAAAGAAGCCCTGCTGCTCCCACCACGGGTACCAGGCTGCCTCCACGTACTGAGGGCTGTAGGAGTCGGGCATAGTGCCGCTGACATCTGGGGAGAGGAAGGCAGGCGTCAGTGTGGAGGCTGGGCCGCTGGGAAGAGGACGGGGTGGCGGAGGTAGGGTGGGGGGAGACAGAAGGGCCTGGGCCTCTGCAGATCTTCACCAAGAGAGTGGTGGGAGCGGGGCAAGCAGGAAGGGGAAACAGGAGCAGCAGCAGCTGAGGCGGGAGGAGGGGGGGGGGGTCCCTTCCCTGACCAGTACCTTTCCTTTCCCCGGGTGGGGTTGGGAGGTCATAGGTAACAACTCCAGGATCCCGCTTCTCCCTCTTCTCTGGTTTTGGTTTCTTCTGCTTGGGAGGGAAGATACAGACTCCGATATCAGCCTCCCCCCTTGCCCGACTATGACATCGCATCCTTCCCACCTTAGCCTCTCACCTCCCTGGGCGGCGGTTGCTGCTGCTGGATCTTCTGCTTCTGTTGGAATTTCTCTAGCTTCTCCCGTTTCTTTGCCTCTTTCTTGAGTTGAGCAGGTGTCTTTGGAGGTGCAGTGGCCTCAGGGCCTGGTGGGAGGCCCAGCAGTGCAGACTCAGCCGCTGAGGCGTCTGAGGATGCTGCTGGGTCTCAGACCGTTATTCTCGCTACTCAAGGCTCCCCCTGCAGACCTCCCACCGGCCCTCCTCCACGCGTTCTGCCACTCTGAGATAAGAAAGTGAGCTGGCCGAAGCCAGTTTGGCTCAGTGGTAGAGCGTCGGTCTGCGGACTGGAGGGTCCCGGGTTCGATTCCAGTCAAGGGCATGTACATTGGTTGCGGGCACATCCCCAGTAGGAGGTGTGCAGGAGGCAGCTGGTCCATGTTTCTCTCTCATCGACGTTTCTAGCTCTCTATCTCTCTCCCTTCTTCTCTGTAAAAACTCAATAAAATATATTTTTTTAAAAAAGAAAGTGAGCTGCATGGGAAACCGCAAGGAACCCCTCCCCTCCCACCTCCCCAGTCCTTACTCCTTACCTGGCTGATGGAAGAGCAGCCGGGCCCCTGAGCACAGAACCACCTCTCCCAGCACGGCCCGGAATTCTGGCTGCTGGACACAGGTGGTGAACCAGCGAGTGACATTCCCCCAGGTCCGGCGCGCACAGGGGTCCAGGACCTGCGAGGGGGAAAGAAAGCAACGCCCTCAGCCACCTGTGGTGAGGTCAGAGGAACCGCCCCGCTCCTCCCCGGGCCCTAGTGAGGGCCCTAGTGACTCACGTATCGGAAGGGCAGCAGCAAGGCTGTGACAGCCGCCAGGTCCGCCAGGGTGGGGGCCTCCCGGGCCAGGTAGGTGTGCTGCCGGAGCCACTCCTCCAAGGGGCTCAGGGCCCTGCCCAGGGCCCCCAGCGCAGCCTAACAAGAACGGGGAGGGATGTGAGACAGGGTGTGGCCTCCTTCCACTCCCACAAATCATCACCTCTGAGGCCAGTTTCATCTTCTTTGAAAGGGTCATAATAAAAAGAAGCCCTGCCCTGGCCGGTCTGGCTCAGTGGATAGAGTGCTGGCCTGCAACTGAAAGGTCCCAGGTTCGATTCCGGTCAGGGCACATGCTCAAGTTGTGGGCTCAATCCCCAATGTGGGGTGTGCAGGAGGCAGGGGACCAATGATTCCCTCTCATCATTTGTATTTCTGTCTCTCCCTCTCCCTTCCTCTCTGAAGTCAATAAAAACGTATTTTTTTTAAAAGAAGCAGCCCTGGTGCTTCATTCATTCAGAAAATTCCTACTGAACATTTACTATGTATCAATTGCAATATATTAAGTACAAGAAGTTAAAGATTAAGTAAGGCAACACAATAATTGCTTCCACAATATTTGTTAAGCACCAGTACATGCCACGTACCTCTCTAAAGAATGAGGAGAGGATGTGAACAGGGCCCCTGACCTGATGGGAGCTTGCATTCCAATTGGGAGACAGTAAATGAACAAATATATAATACATTAACCCTATTTTTCTCCTTAAGTGCTATGAAGAAAATAAGTCAGGTTGAGGGAGACAAGGAATTTCAAAGAGGAGGGCCTCTATTTTAGATAGTGTAATCTGGATATGAGGGAGCCAGCCAGGGTCTAAGTCATATATTCATTCATTCATTCATTCAAGAAATACTAGTATCTACCGTGTTTGATAAGGACCAGAGGCACAGCCACTTTGAAAGGATTGTTTACAACATGGTGTGGTTGTCTCTCCTCTCCCTTCCCCCCTTTTCATCTCTCCTACCCCGCCTCTGGGCACCGTTATCTCTCCTGGCCCAACCTGCCTCTTCTCATCTCTCCCTCACCCACTTTCCCTACAATCCATAACTTCTACTGTGGGTTTCCGACTCATCAAGCTTTTACTCACTCTAGGCACTACACCGTGTGCTCTGCACACTTCTTTTTATTTTCTCAACATGGAAACTAAAGTTTTCAGAGACAAAAAGAAGACCAAGGCTCAGAGAGGTTACCATGTGGCCATGTGGGACTTGACCAGTCTTTTTCCACACCCAACACGCTATCTTCCTGTCTCATTATCCATCCCAACTCTTGCTTCCTTCTCCTAAACTTCCCGCCCCCTTCCCCCCTCACCTGGGGGTCCTGGACGGAGCCGCGGAGTCCCACGGCGGGCAGCGTGGCCCCGCAGGCAGCGGGTATGAGCTCCGTGTCGGCGTAGCTGACCCACTGCTGGACGAGGACGGCTGCCCGGCTGCCCCCAGGGCCCCCCAGGCCTGCGGGCCACAGCAGCTGGGCCACAGCAGTGGCCCCCCACACCCAGAGCCCGCCGGGCCCCTTCTCCAGGGCGGGCAGGCGGGGCGGGGGGAACGGGGTCCTGCTGGCCGGAGGCGGCTGGAGGCAGATGCGGGGGTGCGCGCCCCCCCAGCCCGGCCCCTCCCCCGCCTCCCCGTAGCGCGCCGCTATGAGGGCTCGGAGGCTGGGGAAGGCATCGGGGTGCGGGGAGACGTAGAGGATGGACATAGTTCTGCAGGGTCCGCGCCAGGTGAGACAGACCTAGGAGAGGGAGACGAAGACTGAGGGCCCCGGGTCCTACCTGAGTAAGAGGGGACCCTCATGGGCTCCTCTCCGCGGGCGCCGAGGCCCCAGGGCCTGGGGGCCCGTCAGGCCTCAGGAGCCCGGGTCTGGCTGCGGAGTGGCGGGGACGGCCGGGCCCGGTCCTCGGGGAGAGTGGAGCCGGAGGGCCCCTCGGCCCGGCAGGGCGGGCTGGGGCCGCAGGTACGTACTGGGGGGCGGGGGTCAGGCCGAGCCGGCGCCGGCCGAAGCTGGGCCGGCCTGGCGGCCGGGGCCGAGGAGTCGGGCGGCCGGGACGGCGGGCAGTTCTCCGGGGACCCTGGCTCCTGGGACCGCCGCCCGAGCACCCACGTGTGGCCTTTGTGACAGCGAGCGCTTCCGGCGCGGGTCCTGGCGTGGGCGGCCGGGCCCCGCCTGCGTGTGCAGCCGCCCCTCGGACCCGGGCCGGGGCGCGGTCCCCGCGCTCTGAAAAGGGGCGCGGTCACAGGCCGGGCGCGGGCACAGGCGGGGGGCGGCCACAGCTCGGGGCGCCCTACGACCGACCGTGCTCCCGTCAGGCGCCGCCACGGGCAGCCCGCGCGGGTCCTCGCGCCCCCGGCGGAGGGGGCGGAAGTGGCGCCGCGGGCGGGGCTGGCGAGGCCTGGAGCGGAACCGCCCACCGCATAGCGGGAACCTGTCACTTGTTTGAAAGAATCTGCCAGACTTCAGTGTGCCCCCCTGGCTGGGTTGAGGGGAAATCAGCAGCGTCGACCGCATCATGGTGTCTGACAACTGTCCCTCGGGAAGGGAGCGGGCGCTCATGGCAGGTGCGGTCTGAGCAAAGGCCATGAGGCACGGGGTGCTCGGAAGCCGGTTCACTCAGAGCAGCGGCAGCAATGCTGGACACTGCCTTGCGTGGGGTCTTGGCTGGGGTAATGCAGGGCAAGAGCTCGATGAACTCAACATCCCTTTCCCACCCTCCAGCCTCCTTCCCAAACACACACACTCCAGAAATTTGCACCACACATTTATTCCCGATGCGGGACAGGTTCCTTCCACCCCCAAAATGAATCACATGCTGCCCTGGAGAGATGGAGATTCTCCCACCATCTCTGGGGAAGGAGTAAGGAAGGCAGGTGCTGGGGACCAGGAACACTGCAGTTCCCCAGACAGCTCATCTTCCTTCTCACTGAGGAGAGCTGCTCCCACCATGGTTAGTCCTCTAGTCTACTTATCCCCTTAGAAAAAAAAAAGCAAAAAAAAAAAAGCGCCTTCACTATTGAAAAACAATAAACAACATCTCAAGTACGAAGGAGGGGTCCTGGGCTGGAAGAGGGGAGGGAGTGGAGGAATCGTCACTGTTTCTGCTGCAGGGCCTCCTTCCTCGCTGCGTCCTGTAGCAGCTGCGTGTCCACCTCATCTGCAGGCAACTGCACATAGCGGACCACTGAGCCCCGGATGAAGCAGTTCTTCACTGATAACTAGACAAAGGTGGGCAAACGTGAAAACACTCTTAAAAATTTCCTCTAACCCACCCAGGGGCCTCCTGTTGTCAGAGGTGTTTGCTCTTTCCCACCAGCCCTCACTCACCATGTGAGGGTATTTCTCAGGGTCTGTGACACTGATGTCAGTTAGTTTGATGTTGAGATACTAAAGAAAGATGAACATCGTTAGCCGTAGAGACAAGTACAAGACAAGCACCCCACCTTCTTTCCCCAATACCAGTCCTGGGCTCTTGCTTTGTCTCACCTGATCCACAGAATGGAGGGTCCCACAGATGCTGTCAGGGGCAGAGGAAAGGAAGAACCAAATTAGTTTACACCAAAGTCAACACAGAGGTGACTTGAGAGCTAAGAACATAGTTTGGGAAAATCAAGGACTTGACAAAGCCAGAATAGGTGGAAACAAAAGGGGGTATTCCTAAGCCGTAGAGTAGGAAAGACAGTGCTTCCAGAACAGTTTTGTTTTTTTTTAATTAACTTTATTGGGGTGACACCGGTCAACATGATCATACAGGTTTCAGGGATGAGTTTGTTACAAGGTGTGTATACTGAACCATGTATACACACCATCCAGTCAAACCTTCTGTCACCATATATTAGGACTGCCTTCTCCACCCCTAGAAGTGTGTTATTTTAGCAGTCCATCGCCTTAACCACTCGGCCACCTCGTCCCACAGTAGAAGTGTGTTATTTTAGATTATACATCTTTCCCTATACCAATCCACTCTTGAGAGCTACCATCTACATTTCTCCTGTATGGCATGTATAATTTTACAGCCACTTTTATAATCTTTAGCAACTTTACAAAGTAGCTATTACCATCCAGGGGATCAGAGAGGGTGTTTAACTTGCCCAATTTTAGAACAAACAAGGACTCAGACCATCAGCTGTTTCATTCATGGATTTGGAACCAGAGCCCAACATATACAGTAGATAAAGCAGCCAGCATTGCTCTTGAAGGGACAAGAGATACCCTCTCCCTTCCCCACTGCTTGAGACCCTGAAACGTTCGTGAGGAATGCTCTCTCCCAACTTATAAAATTTGTCAGATGGTGTTCATCTTCTTTCCCAAGTCTCACAACTTCCCATCCCATGAACTGTAGCTCTGCCCTGCATATCCCATAAATCCCTGGCATTTGCTGATGTCTAATATTTCTGTAATTCTCTTTCAAGTTTGATTTCTACAAACCAAGGTCCTATTACTTTACACCTCAATCCAGGCCACCTTCCCATGTGGCCACCCTCTTCACCATCCTTAGGACCACTAGTTCTCAAACACTGACGTGTGCTAAAAGGTGTCAGAAGTCCATGACAAAAGAGGAAACACAGGCCAGTAGTATTGTGTACGCTGTATGCTAAAGGTTGTCAATAACTTTAAATTTTATTTTAGGAAGAGGAAGGGGGAAAGAGAAACATCAATTTAAATATTTCTTTTTATTGGTTTCAGAGAGGAAGGAAGCAGGAGAGATAGAAACATCAATGATGAGAATCATTTTTCAGCTGCCTCCTGCACGCCCCCTACTGGGGATCAAGCAGTCAACCAGAATTGAACTTGGGACTCTAGTCCACAGGCTGACGCTCTATCCACTGAGCCAAACCGGTTTCGGCAAAACATTGACTTTTAAAAAAAATCAACTTATTTATGCATTCATTGGTTAATTCTTTTATGTATCCTGACCAGGGGTTGAACTTGCAACCTCATATATGGGGATGAAGCTCTAACCAACTGAGTTACCTGGCCAGGACTAAAAAATAGCTGTTCTTTGATTGTCCTTACTATTATTTTTGGTATTAAATTTTTAAAAATAAAATTATCATGAAAGGCAGTTTTTTAAAAATGTCTTTTATCTTGCCAAAAATAAAGTTGGCAGTTCTCTACTGGACCCTATTTTTGTAAAATCCTGTCTTTGAAATCCATATCTGAGGCCCACCGCGCCGGTGGTGGTTTCGCCACATCCCTGGCTGAACAGCCTTTGACAGCACCTCGCCACCATGTGCAGCGGTGGTGACTTCAGGCATTGGATAAGGTGGTAGCACTTCATTCAGTTCATTGAGAGCGGTCTGACAACAAGCCTGAGAAAGCTCCTTTCCCAGTCCAATGGCATTCCTTCCCACCTTACGTCCTTGCTTTGGGACCTGGAGCTAAAACTAAATGTTTTGCCATGTGGGAGGCCAGGGGGGAGAAAAGAGGAAAAGAAAACAAGTCACTCCCAGAATTGCCTAGGGTTGGTACGGGCTCCCACACTCTCTCTCTCTGGCCCTCATCTCTACGCCATCAGGACCATACACATTGCCCACGTCATACGTGAAATCTCTGATGTAGAATCCCTCTCCTCGCCACTCTGCCATGTCAGAGAGAGACAGTTAGAAAAATATATTGATTTTGTACAGAGAGGAAGGAAGAGGGAGAGTCAGAAACATCGATGAGAGAGAAACATCGATCAGTTGCCTCCTGCACACCCCCTACTGGGGATGTGCCCACAACCAAGGTACATGCCCTTGACCGGAATCGAACCTGGGACCCCTGAGTTCCCAGGCCGATGCTCTATCCACGGAGCCAAATGGGTTTTGGCTCTATTTTAAATGTACCTCTCATTTAAAGGATTTTCCCCCTAAAGAATTGGAAACTGCCCAGCTAGTGTGGCTCAGTGGATGAGTGTCAACCTATGGACCAAGAAGTCACAGGTTCAATTTCTGGTCAGAGCACATGCCCGGATTTCGGTCTGTCCCAGATTGGGGGTGGGGGGCTGTGCAGAAGACAGCCTATCAATGTTGATGTTTCTCTTTCATAGATGTTTTCTCTATCCTCACGCTTCCTCTCTCTCTAAAATCAATACAAACACTTTGTTTTTCCTCACCCAAGGATATTTTTCCATTGACTTTTAGAGAGGTGGGAGGGAGGGGAAAAGACAGAGAGAAACATCAATGTGAGAGAGACATATCGATTGGCTGCCTCCCTCACGTGCCCCAACCAGGGCTGGGGATTGAGCCCGCAACAGAGGTGCACATGCCCTTGACTAGAATCGAGTCTGGGGCCCTTCAGTCCCTGGGTTAACACTCTATCCACTGAGCCAAACTGGCTAGGAAATAAAAACATTTTTTAAAAATTGCTTTTAAGAATTGGAAAATGCCTGTCCAACAGCAAGGCCTTGGTTAATAAAGATGCCATGCAGACATTAAGAAAGTTAAAGATCACCTTTATTGACGAGAAATGTCCACATCTGCTAAGTGAAAAGCAAGTTTCAAAACTGCAGAGAGAACATGATCCTGTTTATAACTTGTAAAAAAGCCCTGGCTGGGCAGCTCAGTGGGTTAGAGCATCGACCTGATACGTCAAGGCTTCAGGTTTGGTCCCCCATCAGGGCACACGTAAGAATCAACCGATGGCCGAGACCGGTTTAGCTCAATGGATAGAGCGTCGGCTTGGGGACTGAAAGGTCCCAGGTTCGATTCCGGTCAAGGGCATGTACCTTGGTTGCAGGCACATCCCCATTAGGGGGTGTGCAAGAGGCAGCTGATCGATGACTCTCTCTCATCGATGTTTCTAACTCTGTATCTCTCTCCCTTCCTCTCTATACAAAATCAATAAAATATATTTTTTAAAAAAAGAATCAACCGATGAATGCATACATAAGTGGAACAACAAATTAATGTCTCTTCCCCCTTCCTCTTGCTAAAAAAAAAAAAAAGAAAAAGATAATCAAGACAGAATTGGATTTCAGTTTTTGCTGTCATTTACTAGTTGCATAGACTTGAGTTTAAGTTTCTTAACCTATCCAAGCTTCCAATTTCCTCACATGTAAAGCAGCAACAGCAGTATATGTCACAGGGGTGTTATGAGAATTCAATGAGTTAAATGTATGCAGAATAGTGCCTACTCAAAAGGAGTTCTCAAATGTTAGCTACTCTACTTTCAGCACACATTAAGCTCCTACTATGTGTCAGGCTATTGTACACATTAGAAACAATGGTGAGCTTAAACATGGTCCAGGGCCCTGTCTGAAGGACAGGCCTAAAACAGAAAAACATTTTTCTGAAGTCACAATTTGAGAAGCACCCACTATGAAGAAAATAAGACTCTGGTAGAAGAATCTACTTGGCTAGAAAAAACAGGAAAAGTCCAAGAATACAGCATTTAATTCCCAATTCTGAAAGATGATTAGGCGTTATGATATAAGGGGTAAGGAATGGAAAAGCAATACAGTCAGAAGGGATTGGTCTCCTGTTTATCCTTTACATTTTCTAGAGCAAAAGGGAGATTATGCCACATATACTATTTTGCAACAACTTTCCACATCAGCACATCTCATTCTGATGTGACAGCTGTGGAACATAGAAGCCACAATTTAACCCAGTCCCTATGGATAGCCACTTGTTTTCCATTTTTGGTTACTGCAAAGAAAACTTACAAACGTCTTTGTCCTTACATCTTTACTTGTGGAACTGACTCTTGGGTCAAAGGAGATATAATTTAATCAGAAAAAATGCTGATGCCTCCAGCCTCTGACCTCTGTACTAACTCTGTATATAATTCTAGAGGCCTGGTGCACGGATATGTGCACCGGTGGGTTCCCTCGGCCTAGCCTGTGCCCGCGCAGCCCGGGACCCTTGGGCATCAGGCTGAAACCTGCAATCTGATATCCCCCGAGGGATGTAGTAGTGCGAGAAATGGCAGGCGGCCAGGGAGGAGCCCAAGCCCAGGTTGGGCACTGTGCTGCTCTGGCTCATCCCAGCCCCACTGCGCCTGCTGCTGCTGCCACGGCTCCAGGAGCTCCCGCTGTGGGAGCGCACTGGCCACTAGGGGGCAGCTCCTGCGTTGAGCGTCTACCCACTAGTGGTCAGTGTGCATCCTAGTGACCAAACTGTCCACTAGTACAGCAGTCGACTGGTTACTTAGGGTTTTATATACATAGGTATGTATTTCTTTGTATTTCTTTTCAAATACAAGAAACAGTTCCACAGCTCATCTGTCAGCTTAAGGCACCATTCTTTATCTCTCCCACCTTACCCAGCCCTCAATAACACTTGTTCAGTTAAAGAGGTTTCAGGGCCCAGCCCGTGTGTCTCAGTGGTTGAGCATTGACCTATGAACCAAGAGGTCATGGTTTGATTTCCAGTCAGGGCACAAGCCTGGGTTGCAGGCTCCATCTCCAGTAGGGGGCATGCAGGAGGCAGCCGATCAATGATTCTCTCTTGTCATTGATGTTCCTATCTCTCTCCCTCTCCTTTCCTCTATGAAATCAATAACATATTTTTAAATGAATAAATAAAAAGTATAAATAAATCAATAGGTTTCAGGGCTCTGGGCACATCCACTCCCTGCAGACTTGTTGAAATAGGTACCTACCTCAGGTCATTCTTGAGTTCCACGACCACATCCTTGCCCACAAGGGACTTGAAAAAGGAATAGAAGAGCTATTGGGGAGAGAGGGGAAACCATCACACGGGAAGAGACACGGCAGGGAGCGGCCTTCTGCTACACCGGCATCCGCCCAGCACCCTCAACCCGCACCCTCACCGGGGCAGGTCTCGGCTCCCCAGGAGAGAAGACGGGGTGACGGAGGGACTGCTAGAGCCCCAACGACCGCGCGCTCTTCCCTGCGCCCTGGCCCCTCGGGCTCTGGAGCTCGCTCTCAGGCCGCCCTCTCTCCTGGGTCCTCCCCCGCCCCCCACAATCCCCCCCAAGCCTGGTCTCCGTCGAGAAAGTGCTCCTTGAGGTCTGACTTCCCCTCTAACGGGTCCCTGCAGACTCTCCATCGGGTTCTTAAACTTTCCCTTAAAAGGGAAAAAAGCCCTTGCGTCCAATATGTCTTCCCGGGGAACTTGAGGTGCAGGAACTAAGGGCGGAGAGGACCCCGGACGCAGCCGGGACCCCCACCCCGACCCCAACCGACCGACCCGCGCGCTCTCCCCAGGGCGCCTCCTTGTGACGTCACAGTACCTACCATGGTGCTCGCGCGGCGGGCAGCCGGCCGGCCCGGGGAAGCGGGGGCCTGGGCCCGGGGCCAGAGGCCGGGCGGGGGCCGGGCGCGGGGCGGCGCGGGGCCGGGCGGGGCGGGAGCGCCGGGGAGCTCGGGGTGCAGAAGCGGGCGCCCGCCAGCACAGGGATCCGCGAGGCAGGGCTCACGGGAGGGGGAAGGGCCGGGGCGGGGCGGGGCTTCCTCCTCCCGGCGGCCTCCGCCCGGGCTCACCGCGCAGGCGCGGCCGGCCTGGGGCCGCGGAAGCCCTCCCTCCTCTTCCCAGTGGCGGCGCGGTGCGACCCCAGCCGGAAGCTGCTGGGGAGTTTGTGAGACTCCAGAATCTCTCCACTCTGTCTGTTACACTTCCTTAAAAGTAAAAAGGAATGCTGCGTTGCCCTGCCGGTTTGGCTCAGTGGCTAGAGCATAGCCTGCGGACTAAAAGGTTCCGGGTTCGATTCGGTCCCTCCACAACAGGCCGGGTCAGGGCTGTGCTGGGGGCAACCCATTGATGTGTTTCTCTCACATTGATATTTCTTTCCCTCGCCCACGCTCTCTAAAAATCAAAGGAAAAATATCCTCCGGTGAGGATTAGAAAAAAAAAGAAGTGACAAGATCAGAAACTTGAGCACAAGTCTTGGTTTTATTAAAGGTTCCCTCCCAATATATTTCTCTCAAGGACCCATCTCAGGCCACATATCTTACACACTTTTGCCTCGGGCTGTCCTGGGATGGACTGAGTGAAACCAAGCAGGCTGCCTGGAGGATGGAAATAGCCATCCTCGTTGTTAGCTAGGACAAGGGTCTGGACAGTTCTAAATGCTATTTCCTGCTAAATGTTAATATATTGCAATATTCTGCAGAGGCAGCAGTAAGCAGGATAAGAGGACAGGAAACTCAACCCGATAAATTCGGGCAACTGCAGAGAAGAAATCAACGTCATTGACCCAACAGTGTACATAAGCAATGATTAAGGAGACAGAGCTTTGGCTATGAATCCCATCTCCTTGATTTGCTGCAAGTAAAACTACCCTGAACAGAGCACCTGATTGGCAAAAACCCCTTGAGTTTGGTAACAATCACATCCAAATATGCCCCCTCAAATACAAAGGGCTACAAACGCAGTTATTCATAGTTCTATGCCCATGTCACCAACATTTTTATAAATGATATAATAGGTGAAAATATTTTTTCAAGGAATAAGACCATACTAAGTCCTCCATTTCTCATCTTGTACAAAAGTACTCATTTGTCAGGAGTGTGCTGTAGAAATGTTTTATACACATAAAAGACATTCTAGCAGCCCTGGCCAGGGGGCTCCATTGGTTGAGCATCAGCCTTTGCTCTTAGGAGTCATTGGTTTGGTTCCCCATCAGGGCACAGGCCTTGGATGCAGCTTGATCCTAGGTAGAGGGCATGCAGGAGGCAGCTAGTCAATATTTCCTCTCCCTCTCCCTATTTCTCTAAAAGCAACAAAAACAGCTGAAACCGGTTTGGCTCAGTAGATAGAACGTCAGTCTTCGGTCTGAAAGGTCCCAGGTTCGATTCCAGTCAAGGGCATGTACATTGGTTGCAGGCACATCCCTGGTGGGGGGTGTGCAGGAGGCAGCTGGTCCATGTTTCTCTCTCATTGATGTTTCTAACTCTCTATCCCTCTCCCTTCCTTTCTGTAAAAAATTAATAAAATATATTAAAAAATTAAAAAATAAAAGCAACAAAAACAAAATTTTTTAAAAAGATGTAATAATGGACTCAGTGCACAGATACTGGATCTAGACCCCACCTGTAGGTAACATCAAGGAGAAGTTTGGCTACCCGCTCCCAACCTAAGCACTTAAACTAGTCTATCATTGAATATAAATAGAAATGACTTAGCAACTGCTCCCACTGGGGCTGAAAGTGCCTGATGGGCAAGACATGTTCCTGCTTGAAACAATAGCTCATGAAAAGTCAAATACTTCGTCCTTACCAACTTAATCATTCACAATTAGCTCACAATCAGACCACACATGCTCTCTCCATGAACTTTCCTTTCCTTTCCTTTTCAAGATACACTCAGAGTCTAATGATACCAGAAGAAATTTGTTTCAGGAACAAATTTACTGAGTGACAACCATCCACACAGGAAAAAGAAAGTTGGGGAGGCTGGAACTAAATATCAGATTCATCAAATGATTCAGAGAGGGGCCTAGTTTTCCTAAGAGTCTGATTCCAAACTCAGAAACAGGGCACTGGAGTGTAAAAAGATGGCACATGAGACTCGGCCATTAGCATTCCAAAATGGTGGTAACTTGGGCTCAGGTCCAGTCAATTCAAGAGTCATACAGTGTTTGATGATGAAGGGAATAAATTCACCTTAGAGGCACCCTCGGACCCTCCAGCTCCAGATAAGATTAATCTACTTCTTCAATGGTGGGGCCTGTGGCAGGCCTCCCGGGGGAGAATCCTGTTCCACAGGTTGGCCCAGTGCATCCCTCCTGGTAGAGTTTGGTGATGACTGGGTTACACACTTGCTCCAGTTCCTTTCTCTTATGATCAAACTCATCCTTCTCAGCCAGTTGATTGGCCTCTAGCCACAAAAGGACCTCATTGCATTTATCCAGAATTTTCTTTTTATCAGACTCACTAATCTTACCCTTCAAGCCTTCATCACTCACAGCACTCTTCATGTTAAAAGCATAGGATTCTAAGGCATTTTTTGCACCAATTTTCTCTCTCTGGACCTCATCTTCAGCTTTATATTTCTCAGCATCCTGCACCATGCGCTCGATGTCCTCCTTGCTCAGGCGGCCCTTGTCATTGGTGATGGTGATCTTGTTGGCCTTGCCGGTGCTCTTGTCCATGGCCGTGACGTTCAGGATGCCATTGGCGTCAATGTCAAAAGTTACTTCGATCTGAGGAACGCCCCTCGGTGCAGGAGGAATTCCAGTCAGGTCAAAACGCCCCAGCAGGTTGTTGTCCCTCGTCATGGCCCTCTCGCCCTCGAACACCTGGATCAGCACGCCCGGCTGGTTGTCCGAGTAGGTGGTGAAGATCTGTGTCTGCTTGGTGGGGATGGTGGAGTTGCGCTTGATGAGGACGGTCATCACGCCCCCGGCCGTCTCCAGCCCCAGCGACAGGGGCGCCACGTCCAGCAGCAGCAGGTCCTGCACGTTCTCGGACTTGTCCCCCATCAGGATGGCCGCCTGCACGGCCGCCCCGTAGGCCACCGCCTCGTCGGGGTTGATGCTCTTGTTGAGGTCGCGCCCGTTGAAGTAGTCCTGCAGCAGCTTCTGCACCTTGGGGATGCGGGTGGAGCCCCCCACTAGAACAATGTCATGGATTTTCCCCTTATCTATCTTGGCGTCGCGCAGCGCCTTCTCCACGGGCTCCAGCGTGCCCCGGAACAGGTCTGCACACAGCTCTTCAAAGCGGGCCCTGGTGATGGACGTGTAGAAGTCGATGCCTTCATAAAGTGAATCAATTTCCAAGTTGGCCTGCGTGCTGGACGACAGGGTCCTCTTGGCCCGCTCGCAGGCGGTGCGCAGCCGCCGCACGGCCCGCTTGTTCTGGCTGATGTCCTTCTTGTGCTTCCGCTTGAACTCCTCCACGAAGTGGTTCACCAGCCTGTTGTCAAAGTCCTCGCCGCCCAGGTGGGTGTCCCCAGCAGTGGCCTTCACCTCAAAAATCCCATCATCTATGGTCAGGATGGACACATCAAATGTGCCTCCACCCAGATCAAAGATCAGGACCTGTCGCTCTCCCTGACCAGCTTTATCTAAGCCATAGGCAATGGCAGCAGCTGTTGGTTCATTGATTATTCTTAGCACATTGAGACCTGCGATCACGCCTGCATCCTTGGTGGCCTGGCGTTGAGAGTCATTGAAATAGGCGGGCACGGTGATCACAGCGTTGGTGATGGGATGGCCCAAAAAAGCCTCTGCAGTCTCCTTCATCTTAGTCAGCACCATCGAAGAGATTTCTTCCGGGTAGAAAGCCTTTTTTTCCCCTTTGTAGGATACCAATACTTTGGGCTTGCTTCCTTCATTGATGACTTGAAAAGGCCATAGTTTCATATCTGATTGTACTACAGGGTCATTAAATTTTCTGCCAATCAGGCGTTTGGCATCAAAGACAGTATTCTGAGGATTCATGGCCACCTGGTTCTTGGCCGCGTCCCCGATGAGGCGCTCGGTGTCGGTGAAGGCTACGTAGCTGGGCGTGGTGCGGTTGCCCTGGTCGTTGGCGATGATCTCCACCTTGCCGTGCTGGAACACCCCCACGCACGAGTACGTGGTGCCCAGGTCGATGCCGATGGCCATCCCCTTAGCAGCAGCCATGGTTTTCCGAGACCTGTTAAGGAAAAGTGAGATGAAGTCTTGGCAGGGTACTACTTTAGTCTGTGTACTGTTTTTAATTGTGCTAAGCACATGTAACATGCAATTTACCATCTGAACCATTTCTAGCTGTACAGTTCAGTAGTAAGTTCATGCACATTGTTGTCCAACCAATCTCCAGGACTCTTTATCTTGCAGAAACTGAAATTCTATGTCCATTAAATAGCTCACCATCCCCTACTCCCACCAGCTCCTGGAAATCACCACTTTCTTTTTTATTTTCTTTTTCAGCTATGCCTCAAAATTTTAATAAGATGCCCTCTACACACATTTGCTACTAAAAATGGTAACAGCACATCAAAAAATTTGTTACAATTCAAATAAGTACAAGAATAAGGTGTATACCTAAATGACTTCATAATTCTCAATGATAATACCATTAGAAGGATCTCCATGTAATAGCCAATAACTACAGCTACATTTAAATCTTGGGCCTCCTGATTGATTCAGACACGTGGTATATAATAACCTCAGTCCTTATCACCCTTCATTACAGCCTTTCTTTCATTTCTTTCCGAACCTTTGCCTCATCTCCTCGTGACTTGCCTCAGCCCCAGCCCAGACCCCGTGAAGTTTTTCTCTGTTCTGCTGTTGGGGGCGACCGTTTTGGTGGAA